GTTAAGAAGTCTGACTAATAAATTTGAATAAAGTTAAAGGCGACCAAAACCTTTTAATCTGTATTTAAATAGATAGATAGATAGATAGATAGATAGATAGATAGATAGATAGATAGATAGATAGATAGATAGTGTGTCGGGGGTTGGTGATAGAGAGAGTTCGACAGAATGAGAGAGTGAGGAAATGGAAAGACAAACAGGAAGAATACTCGAACTAAAGAGAAATATGAAGAGAAGGAGTAAACAAATCTGGAGGTCAGATAGATAGATAGATAGATAGATAGATAGATAGATAGATAGATAGATAGATAGTGTGTCGGGGGTTGGTGATAGAGAGAGTTCGACAGAATGAGAGAGAGGAGAAATGAAAAAACAAACAGGAAGAATAGAACTAGATAGATAGATAGATAGATAGATAGATAGATAGATAGATAGATAGTGTGTCGGGGGTTGGTGATAGAGAGAGTTCGACAGAAGAATGAGGAAATGGAAAGAGGAAGTGAACTAAAGAGAAAATGAAGAGAAAAAACAAATCTGGAGGTCAGATAGATAGATAGGAAGAATAGTGTGTCGGGGGTTGGTGATAGAGAGAGTTCGACAGAATGAGAAGAGGAAATGGAAAGACAAACAGGAAGAAGAACTAAAGAGAAATAGTAAACAAATCTGGAGGTCAGATAGATAGATAGATAGATAGATAGATAGATAGATAGATAGATAGATAGTGTGTCGGGGGTTGGTGATAGAGAGAGTTCGACAGAATGAGAGAGTGAGGAAATGGAAAGACAAACAGGAAGAATACTCGAACTAAAGAGAAATATGAAGAGAAGGAGTAAACAAATCTGGAGGTCAGATAGATAGATAGATAGATAGATAGATAGATAGATAGATAGTGTGTCGGGGGTTGGTGATAGAGAGAGTTCGACAGAATGAGAGAGTGAGGAAATGGAAAGACAAACAGGAAGAATACTCGAACTAAAGAGAAATATGAAGAGAAGGAGTAAACAAATCTGGAGGTCAGATAGATAGATAGATAGATAGATAGATAGATAGATAGATAGATAGTGTGTCGGGGGTTGGTGATAGAGAGAGTTCGACAGAATGAGAGAGTGAGGAAATGGAAAGACAAACAGGAAGAAGAGAGAGAAGGAGTAAACAAATCTGGAGACAGATAGATAGATAGATAGATAGATAGATAGATAGATAGATAGATAGATAGTGATAGAGAAAGTTCGACAGAATGAGAGAGTGAGAAATGGAAAAACAAACAGGAAGAATACTCGAACTAAAGAGAAATATGAAGAGAAGGAGTAAACAAATCTGGAGGTCAGATAGATAGATAGATAGATAGATAGATAGATAGATAGTGTGTCGGGGGTTGGTGATAGAGAGAGTTCGACAGAATGAGAGAGTGAGGAAATGGAAAGACAAACAGGAAGAATAATGGAACTAAAGAGAAAAATGAAGGAAGATGAAACAAATCTGGAGGTCAGATAGATAGATAGAAGATAGATAGATATGATAGAGAGAGTTCGACAGAAGAAGTGAGGAAATGGAAAGACAAACAGGAAATACTGAACTAAAGGAAATATGAAGAGAATAGTAAACAAATCTGGAGGTAGATAGATAGATAGATAGATAGATAGATAGATAGATAGATAGGGGATAGATAGATAGAGGGGGTTGGTGATAGAGAGAGTTCGAGAATGAGAGAGTGAGGAAATGGAAAGACAAACAGGAAGAATACTGAACTAAAGAGAAATATGAAGAGAAGGAGTAAACAAATCTGGAGGATAGATAGATAGATAGATAGATAGATAGATAGATAGATAGATAGTGTCGGGGGGTTGGTGATAGAGAGATAGATAGATAGATAGAATAAAGAGATGAAGAGAAGGATTAAACAAATCTGGAGGTCAGATAGATAGATAGATAGATAGATAGATAGTGTGTCGGGGGTTGGTGATAGAGAGAGTTCGACAGAATGAGAGAGTGAGGAAATGGAAAGACAAACAGGAAGAATACTCGAACTAAAGAGAAATATGAAGAGAAGGAGTAAACAAATCTGGAGGTCAGATAGATAGATAGATAGATAGATAGATAGATAGATAGATAGATCGGGGGTTGGTGATAGAGAGAGTCGACAGAATATGAGGAAATGGAAAGACAAACGGGAAGAATACTGAACTAAAGAGAAATATGAAGAGAAGGAGTAAAAACAAATCTTTAGATAGATAGATGTTTATGCATCTAGAGAGAGTTCGACAGAATTGAGGAAATGGAAAGACAAACAGGAAGAATTTTATGTAAACAAATCTGGAGGTCAGATTTTTAAACAATATTCGGGGTTTATTTGTTGAGGTCGCAAACAGGAAGTGAACTAAAGATTGCAAATTTATTATAAAATAGATAGATTGAATAATAGAAGATAGTTGTCGGGGGGTTGGTGAGAGAGAGTTCGACAGAATGAGAGAGTGAGGAAATGGAAAGACAAACAGGAAGAATACTCGAACTAAAGAGAAATATTAAACAAATCTGGAGGTCAGATAGATAGATAGATTAGATAGATAGATAGATAGATGATAGATAGATAGATAGATAGATAGATAGTGTCGGGGGTTGGTGACAGAGAGAGTTCGACAGAATTGAGGAAATGGAAAGACAAAAACTTAAAAGAAATATGAAGAGAAGGATTAAACAAATCTGGAGGTCAGATAGATAGATAGATAGATAGATAGATAGATAGATAGAAAATAGATTTAAAGATGTGTGTCGGGGTTGGTGATGAGACATGAAGAATGGAGAGAGAAAGAAAGACAAACAGGAAGGAACTAAAGAGAAATTTCTGGAGGTCAGATAGATAGATAGATAGATAGATAGATAGATAGATAGATAGAGAGTGTGTCGGGGGTTGGTGATATTGAAAATACAAAAAGAATAAACTAAAGAGATTTGGAATAGATAGATAGATAGATAGATAGATAGATGATAAATGGGGGTTGGTTGAGAGTTGACAGAATGAGAGACTAAAAGACAAAAAAGAATAAGAACTAAAGAGAAATATGAAGAGAAGGAGTAAACAAATCTTTTCAAAGAAGAAATAATAGAAGTGTGTCGGGGGTTGGTGAAAGAAAGAAGGGAAAGACAAACAGGAAGAAATCGAACTAAAGAGAAATATGAAAGGGTAAACAAATCTGGAATAGATAGATAAAGAAAAAGAGATAGATAGATAATAGTGTGTCGGGGGTTGGTGATAGAGAGTTCGAAGAATGAGAGAGTGAGGAAATGGAAAGACAAACAGGAAGAAAGAACTAAAGAGAAATATGAAGAGAAATTCTGGAGGTTAGATAGATAGATAGATAGATAGATAGATAGATAGATAGATAGATAGATAGATAGATAGAAATAGATAGTGTGTCGGGGGTTGGTGATAGAGAGAGTTCGACAGAAAGAAAGAAATGGAAAGACAAAAAAGAAACTAAAAGAAATATGAAGAGAAGGAGGGATAGATAGATAGATAGATAGATAGATAGAGATAGATAGAAATAGATAGTGTGTCGGGGGTTGGTGATAGAGAGAGTTCGACAGAATGAGAGAGTGAGGAAAATGGAAAGACAAACAGGAAGAATAAAACTAAAGAGAAATGAAGAGAAAGTAAAAAAAAGATTTAGATGATAGATTTAAAGAGATGGAAGAAAAGTCGACAGAAGAATGAGGAAATTAAAAGAAAAGAAGAGAAGGAGTAAAACAAATCTGGAGGAAAGATGGACGAAAGTGAGGAAAGAAAGAAAAAAGGAAGAAAATAACTAAAGAGAAATATGAAGAGAAAGGTTTAGAAAAAGATAAAAACGTTAATAGAGAGAGAGTTCGACAGAATGAGAGAGTGAGGAAATGGAAGACAAACAGGAAGAATACTGAACTAAAGAGAAATATGAAAAAGATAGATAGATAGATAGATAGAGATAGATAGATAGATAGATAGATAGATAGAGAGTGAGGAAATGGAAAGACAAACAGGAAGATAGATGAATGAAGAGAAGGAGTAAACAAATCTGGAGGAATAGAATCAGAAGTTCGACTGAAGACTAGATAAAAATAAGAGAAGGAGTAAACAAATCAACAGATAGAAATAGATAGCAATAGAGAGAGTTCGACAGAATGAGATGTATAAATTAAGAACTAAAGGAAATATGAAGAAGGAGTAAACAAATCAGATAGATGATAGATAGATAGATAGATAGATAGATAGATAGATAGATAGATAGATATGAAGACGACAATGAGAGAGAGAAATGGAAAGACAAACAGAAGAGAACTAAAGAGAAATATGAAGAGAAGGAGTAAAAACAAATCTGGAAGATAGATAGATAGATAGATAGATAGATAGATAGATAGATAGATAGATAGATAAAGATAGCACAATAATCTTTCTGTGTGATAGATAAACAATATTGTTATTTGTTAGTCGCCGGTCTATTGCAATTTATTATAAAATTCTTTGAATAATAAGGAGAGAGATGACAAATCAAAACTTAAACATAGAAGGCTAGTCATGATTTAGGAATTGCAAAATATTTAAATTGCTGTGACATAGATAGATAGAAAATACAAAGAAATGATTTTAAAGATAAAAGTATAAAAGAAAAAAGAAGATACAAAAGAAAGAAGGACAGACACAATCTAAGGGTAAGGAAAAAGAAAAAAGAATGGAAAGTATATAAGACAAGGAAAAGACAACAAAGATGTAAATTCAATTAACAGTAAAATAGACCACGTAAGAAAGAAAGAAAGAAAAAAAGAAAGAAAGAAAGGAAGGGAGGTAGGAAGGAGACGAAATGTAGTCATAGAATAAGCAAACGAAAGAAAGAAAAAAAGTTTTGCCGTTTAAAGAATGGAAGAAAACGTGCATGCAGAATAATTAAAAGAAAGAAGGAACTACAGAAAGATGGCGAAAGTAAGAAAGAAAAGAAGAAAATAACTGAAGGTTTAAAAAATAAAAAACGTTAATGTAGAATAAGTAAAAGATAGATAGATAGATAGATAGATAGATAGATAGATAGATAGATAGATAGATAGATGAATGGGATAGATAGATAGATCGATGTCAACACAAATATAGATAGATAGATAGATAGATATGAAGACCAAGAGAGAGAGAGATAGAAAGAGAGAGATGAATAAACCAAGATAGATAGATAGATAGGTAGATAGATAGATAGATAGATAGATAGATAGATAGATAGATAGATAATGTACAGACCGAGGGAGAGAGATGAATAAACTAGATAGATAGATAGATAGATAGATAGATAGATAGATAGATAGATAGATAGATAGATAGATAGAGATAAAGAGAGAGAGAGAGAGAGAGAGAGAGGAGATAGGAAGAAAAGATCATACTGGTATTAGATAGATAAACAGAGATGAGAACAGACCGACATTAGATAGATAGATAGATAGAGATAGATGGATAGATAGAGATAGATAGAGATATGAAGACCAAGAGAGAGAGAGAGAGATAGATAGATAGATAGATAGATAGATAGATAGATAGATAGATAATGTACAGACTGAGGGAGAGAGAGATAAATAAAAGAAGAGAGAGAGAGAGAGAGAGAGAAAGAAGAGAGAGAAGAAGGAAGAAAAGAAACAAATAAACAGAGATGAGAAAGACTGACATTAGATAGATAGATAGATAGATAGATAGATAGATAGATAGATAGATAGAGATAGAAAAAAGATTGACATATACTGAGCAAAAGAATGAAAGAAAAAAAGGAGAAACATGAAATTAAAAGATCTTGTGGAAATGAAATTGTGCAAGAGAATATATAATAAAAGAGTAAAGAAACTATAAACGGTAGAAAAAAGTTTTAAAAAAAAGTAATAAAATATTGAAAAAAAAAACGTTAACTATAAATCCAGCAATCATTCAATTAAATCTCTGGAACTCGATGTTCAGGCAAGAAGAACGGTCATTCCAATGTGCTTTATTTTGCTCTTCAATTTCCATATTCATCGTTTTTTTTTTTATTTACGCCTATTTCTTTGCCTGGTTTTTCATATCGAGAATTTTACCATCTTTGTAGTCTGTAATCAGAACGTCATGTTGTTTAGTAATTGTTGAGCGACAGACGAAACAATCTTGAAGGCAAACTATGTATTTAAGTAAAAATATAAAAAAAAATATTAATCTTGATAGGTCAAAATGATACACTTGTCTCAGTGTGTATACACGCGCAAACATACACAGGTGCGTGCATAGATAGATAGATAGATAGATAGATAGATAGATAGATAGATAGATAGATGTGATATACTGCGAGCTCTTGTTTTTGAGTATTTGCCACGATAACACTGATCAATATTCAAATTCAAAAAACACATTTCTTCATTTTGAAGATGGGTTAAATTAACATGGCGACGATATAACATCTCTCTCTCTCTCTCTCTCTCTCTCTCTATATATATATATATATATATATATATATATATAGATAGATAGATAGATAGATAGATAGATAGATGTGATATACTTCTAGCTCTTGTTTTTGAGTATTTGCCACGATAACACTGATCAATATTCAAATTCAAAAACACATTTCTTCATTTTGAAGATGGGTTAAATTAACATGGCGACGATATAACATATCTCTCTCTCTCCCTCTCTCTCTCTCTATATATATATATATATATATAGATAGATAGATAGATAGATAGATAGATAGATAGATAGATAGATCCTACCTCCCATTAAAATGTCTGACGCTCAACTTCTCGGGAGCACCTCTTAACGACTGCTCGGTCTCACATTGTCTGCTGACCTGATATGGAGCAAATACATTGAGTCGATAGCTTCGTCCACCGCTAAGAAAGTTGGCTCCCTGTGCAGCGCCAGGAAATTTTTTTCGCCTGAGTCGATCCTTCAAATCTACAAATCAACCATTCGCCCTTGCATGGAGTATTGCTGTCATATCAGGTCTGGAGCCCCTTCTGTTTGTTCTCAATGTCCTTGATAAAATCCAGAGACGGATATGCAATGTAATTATCCCTGTTCTGGGATCTCGTCTGCAGACGCTCTCACACAGACGTGCCATCGCCTCCCTCTGTCTTTTTTACAAATACTTTCACGGTAACTATTCCGGTGAGCTGCTTTCACTGGTTCCCAGACTTCATGAATTTAAGCGTTCAACTAGGCTGGCATCTCGCTCTCACCCTTTCAATGTCAAAATTGATAAATGTAGCCGTCTCTTCTACTCCAATAGCTTCATGTCTCGCACATCTCGCCTGTGGAATTATCACCCCATTTCTTGTTTCCCTGATAGCTATAATCTCCAACTATTCAAATATAATGTCAATCGACGTCTCCAGATGCCTTGATCTATCCCCTGTCCTTCTTTTTATCCTTTTCTCTGTCACTCCTCTTTGCTCTCGCTCCAACTCTCTGTAACCCCTTGCGTGCTAGTGGCCTTCCGCCTTGCTTGGGGTGAAATGCTTAAAAAAAGATTTGATATACTGCTAGCTCTTGTATTTGAGTATTTGCCACGATAGACACTGATCAGTATTCATGTTCAAAAGACACATTTCTTTCTTTTGAAGATTGGATATATCAACATGGCGATCATATAACAGACAGATAGATAGATAGATAGATAGATAGATAGATAGATAGATAGATAATGAACAGAACGATATAGCAATATTTGAGTACTTGCCACGGTTGTCACTGATCCATATTGAAGGTTAAATAAAAGATTTCATTTCGAAGATGGTTTAAATCAATATGAAGGCAATCAATATTTATATATATATATATATATATATATATATATATATATATATATAGTTAAGTTATGAAGAACTTGGTAAACTGAATTGGTAAATCCAAGGAGGATGAAATCCTGAGTGCTCAATGTGAAGAACAGAGCTAATATTTAATGAAAACCAGACACTTTAAGTAACTTGTGTTACCTGATGATCCGAAATCCTTTAAAAAGGATTTTGGTGAATTAAATTATTGTAATGGTTCTTTTTGAAGTGTCTGGTTTTCATTAAATAAATTATATATATATATATATATATATATATATATATATATATATAATATATATATATATATATATATATATATATATAGATAGATAGATAGATAGATAGATATATATATATTTTCTTCGTGTATTCTTTTATAAAAACATAGCCTAGTGGCTTATTGCTTCGGTATGTGAATTTGGTGACATATTAATTGTGAGTTCAATCCCTTGGCCAGGTAGTGCGCACTTGGACTCAGTGGAAACAGGCGAGCAATAACTGTGCAGTACTAAAAATAAGAACTGAACGAGATAAACCTAAACATAGGCTGTGGAACGAAAACAGTGTAACCCCCGTTGAATAAATAAAGAAATGCCTTGTTGGTTACCAGATCGACATAAACCTGATGGAGGCCAGAGGGCGCAAAACTCGAAACGTTGTGATGAAGATGAGAATAATAGTGTGAATAATGATAACTCTTCATCTCTGTAATTCAAACAGTAAAATGAAAACCACAATAATCCGAAAATCATTAGGACAATATTTAGTTCCACTCTACGGAAAAATCGCTGTCGAGTTAAAACAAGGGGAAAACATGAACAAGAATTGCGTTTACTCGATTTCTAGCTGTTAAACAGTGAAATCAGGCATGGCTGATCATGTATAGATTGAAAGTGGTAATCATCACTTCTTGTGGAATGAAGGGAAAATACTGAACAAGGAATAACACTCTAAATTTAGATGTCTGAATGTGTAATCGCATATGCTACGCCATGAGTACCTCCTTAGTAGGCCTAGCATAGAAATAAATACAATATGGAAAGCAAGTCTTAAACAGCAATCTTCAACATGACGAACAGCAGCAATCAAAACGTGGCTGTTAGCAGTAACAAAAGCAGTAGTTGCAACATTAATCAGTGGGCAGGTTAGGTTTATGGTTCCAACTTCAATAAATTGTCCTAAATTTTATTAAAACGTTGGTTCGTGCATTTGGTTTAATGTTGGCTGTGGGTCATCAGTGTGTACTTTCACTCACTGGATATAACTAGAACTAGACGATATACCTTGACAAGGGAACTGGATCAAGAAAAGTATACCCCCGTAGAATAAATAAAGGGTTCAGTTCATTATTCAGAGTAGTTACCCATATCAATATAACCCCGATGAAAAATGTGATAAAAACAATAATAATGATATTAAGTCTGATCGGTTCCATAATGTCAAATTGACAGCTGCTCTCAAAAACGACCTAAAATATATTGTTAAATGGAGCAAGATGTGCCCTTTTTTTTTCAAATTTAAAGCCTCAAAAACAAAACTGTACTGTCTTAATCATCAGAGAGAACGTTTTTTTTTACCTTCCTTCACCATGGCTGATGTTAACCTGCAGAGGAGTGACTCCTTCTCGGGCTACGGTTTTCAGCTGACATGAAGTCGAACTATTATATTGAAATTATTGCTAAGCCTGCGTCTTAAAAAGTTGATTTACTATCTCGTGCTACACAATTTGTCTCACTATTATCTCACATATTCATTTCCCATCGTCCTTGCTTTGAATATATCTGCCATATCTGATCCGGTGATCCTGCTATATACTTAGAGATTCTGGATAAAATGAAATTATATTGGTCCTGATCTGGCATCTATGCTTCAGTCCATTTTTTTATACTGCCGTAACGTAGCTTTCCTGTATATTTTTCATAAGTACTTTCATGGTAATTGATCTGATTAACTTTCCTCTATGGTACTAAGATTTTATGAAGCCCAGGCCTAGATTGGCGTCAAGGTTCCATTTGTTAAAATGGCTAGATGTAACCATAACTTTTATCAAACCTTGTTTGTGGAAATCTCTTCCGGCTTCTTCTCTGCCAACTTTGATCTTCAAAAATTTGACTTCAATGTCATTCGTTATCTTCTATCTTCTAAATCTTTTAATGCCCGCTCTACTTAATAGAAGTTTTTTCTCATTTTCTCTAACACTCAGTAACCTCTTGTGACCTAGTGGCTTTATTGCATTGTTTCCGGTGAAATGATTAAAAAAATAACAAAGATTATTACAAATAAAAATAGCGTAAATAATGATAACTCCTCATCCCTAAAATTCAGATAGAAAAAAAGAAAAGGTTTCGCAAAATAGTCATGCGTATTTATGTATAATATAAAATAATATTTATTTATTTATTCTTGTTGTTTGAGAGATTTCGGTATCAACAGAAATGAATAAAAAATTATGAAAAATATATATATATATATATATATATATATATATATATATATATATATATATATATTTTGAAAAAGAGTTAAATATTTAAATTGCTAGCGAGCATAAAATTAATTTCTTCGTGTTTTTTTAACATTTAAATTACTATCAAACATTAAAATCTAATTTTTACATAAATTGCTAAAAATATACCACCCCTCTTCTTCCTACGTAAAACCTAATTGCAGCTTCTTTTCTTTACTTCCCCCTTCTTTCTTTTTTCTTTTTCTTTTTCGCTCTTCTCCCCTCCTAGTTCAATATATCACTTCCGTTAAGTTAACCGTTTAAATAGGTCAAGGTCTGGTCCATCCTCCCCCAATACTAAGTATGATTGAAAGAAATATAAAAATAAACCCTCTCTAAACACGACCATGTCTCTCACACCACTCCTCGTTACCCTCTCTGTTAAATTACATAAACTTAATACTACCCGTCAAAAGTGTGAATTTTCATTTCATCTTTCGTGTCATTTTTTGGAAATGTTATCTGATGATCCAGCGTCCCTTAAAAGGGCTCTGGTGAAATAAATTACTATAATGGAACCTTAAAGTGGTCTGTTTTTTTTAATATATATATATATATATATATATATATATATATATATATATATATATATTAAAGACATTTTTATGTTTAACGTTGTTATTTATAGATACAAGTATTTAAGCAATAAATAACAACATTAAACACAAAAATGTCTTTAAAAAATAAATTGTCGGACCTTGTCCATTTCTTAATATATATATATATATATATATATATATATATATATATATATATATAATATATATTTTTACATTTTGTTTAACGTTGTTATTTATAGATACAAGTATTTAAGCAATAAATAACAACGTTAAACACAAAAAATGTCTTTAATAAATAAATTGTCGGACCTTGTCCATTTCTTAATATATATATATATATATATATATATATATATATATATTTATTTAAAAATTTTTTATGTTTAACGTTGTTATTTATAGATACAAGTATTTAAGCAATAAATAACAACGTTAAACACAAAAATGTCTTTAATAAATAAATTGTCGGACCTTGTCCATTTCTTATATATATATATATATATATATATATATATATATATATATATGCAGAAATTTTTAATCCTTTGATTCTTTATCTGAATTTGCGGACATATTTTCCATCGGCATTTTCTTCTGGGATCATATTATTTACCAAACAGAGAGATATGTTTCACAGTATTTGTAACAAAGGCAAGACCCCATGTTACTACAACATTATTGATCGACAAAATAAACTCCGAACGTAACTATGGAATCATTAGACATGGTAAATGTTAGCCTTTATATTAGAAAATCAGTATTAATAAAAGAATATAAAGGTCAGATTTTTGGTCGAAGCTCAGGAAATGTCTGCTTCCGTACATGATGACTATGACGGTTGCTACAGGTGCAAAGGCGACATTTCGTCCGCTATGTTTCTTGTCTTCGTGTAAAATTACATCGCAAACTGATTTTTCCTTTCTTTTAATTTTTTCTCTTGTATTTCTGTATTTGAAAATGGAACGTTTCTATTGCAGATGGACAAAAAACGTGAAAAGATATTTTGATTCCGTAGTTAAAATGAAAAAAAAAATACCTAGAGTTTGAACACAAACGAAATGGATAATTATCTTATTTAACGAGACATATGAAGTGTAATTTTGTAAAAAAAAAATATGTTTAAAAAATGTTTTGTGTGTGAATTTTATGTCTTTCATGAGACATTTTCCTCCATAGCTCACTATTCAGACTGATTTTTTCCACAAACGATCACTTCTCTCTAGCCTGAATCAATGATAATTGTATTTACGCAGTTGACGTTATTATTATTATTATTATTATTATTATTACTTTGATTTCTGGTGCGTAGACATTTCTTTCCGGGTCCGGCCCAGAGACCGAAGGTTAGAAATGGCATCATGGCATTCTCCACTGACCAATTATAAAGAAAAAAAAATTACATATTTTTAAGGTGTAAGGCTATACTCGTGAGAACATTTTTTGGTATTTCTTTAAGGCATGGGTTTTCAGGGATCCCTTCAATGAGACTACTGGAATCTTTAAAAACCAATCCGAGGGCTCCAACTATAACAGGGATTGTTGATTTTCCCATGTGCCACTATTATTATTATTATTATTATTATTATTTCATGTTGTATTCACATTTTCTTTCGGGATCCAACCAGAGAACCAAGGTCAGAAATGGCTTCATGACATTTTCCACTGTTTATTTTTGTAAAGTATGAAAACTAAGCTTACACTCATGTTACGTAATGTGTAAACAGTACTTGGGAGTAACATTTTTGTATTTCTTTAAGATGGGCTACCAGGAATCCCATTATCGGAACCTTTTCCAATCAAACTGAGGGCTCGAACTACGACTGGAATTATTGATAGTTTTGAAGATCT